AATAATCAATAGTTATAAAAAACACACACAAAAAATATATATTGTAAACTTTGGACAGCAATTATGAATCAAACAGATGACATGCCTTGGATCATATCAGATATGTCAGGCTCATAAACCACTTATTCCTGTAACATTCCTAGCAAGCCTGGTTATTACTTTAAAGTTTCATTCCCCTTATGGAATTTAAAACTAATATTCAGTAATGAACTGCATTCAACATGCGGTCACAAGATGCTAACATATTAACATCCAATATGAGGTAATGACACTATCTGTTGCAAATTTTGAATGTATCTTATATGAAATCTCAATAACCATCATAATATTTTCATCAAATGTTTTCATGCATAATCTTGCGACTTATTACTCATTCTAACATACTGATCTGAGAGACAATATATTTCAGTAAAGAAATAATCTAGCACTCGTGATTTGGATATACAAAGTATAAGTAACTTACATTTACTATGTATCTTTTAGCTGAGCTTTTTTTTTAAACATATGATTTACATATTTATATAAAATAATGAAAATGTCTTTCTCACATGTTTGCACTGTCTTGTTCTAAATAAAGACTCAAATAATATTCTTAACAAATGTTAGCATTGCCTGAGGGAAAAAAACAAACTTATTCATACTCTCAACCAACATGCTTTAAGCTTTATCATTCTCAGTGTTCTTAATTTGCCACCATTCCCTACCAATAAGCTTTGTGCTTCAGGCTTTATGTTGCAGGGGATCATGCTAAACAATCTTACATGCAGCTTTTTTCTAAGGTGCCAAATACCTTCATAGTAATAAAACACAAAAATATTTTTTATATCTTTTCTTTCTATTCATGCAAGACTTTGATATTAGAGACTTCTAAAATAATACTAATATTGTAAAAAAAAAAATGACAGATAAAGGTATATTGTTGTCAAAAGACAACAATTTTCTATAAATGAGGGTAGAGCATCACACTTTCTGAAACATTAATGTAAGTTAATTTATTCTTTATCACAGCATAAAATCAGAATCAAACAGGGTATGCAAATATAAATTTTTCTTTCTTTCTTGTTTTAATTACTTATAATACTGATTCAATGATCAATCTTCCTTTAGAAACAGAAGATCACTGAAAATCAACATGCATGAATAGGAAATAATAAACTCTTCAAACAAAATTCCACGTCTAAAAGATTACCAATGTAACTGTAATTGCCACAAATACATGAAATAAAGGATAAATAAGCAATTTGTGGAACTTACAGATGTAGACGAAGCATCCCTTCGTGTGGCTCTTTTGCTCCACTGGGTGGCCGTCCTGGACATGATGATGTTAGTGCGCTGGGACATGCTTACAACCTGAGCTTCTAGGTCACTAGGAATGGAGATATTATGCTTTCGAGCTGGAAGTAAAATCAAAAGTCTTCAGTCTCTTCTTACATCTATAAGTGTTGAATTTATAATTGAAAAGTTACAAAATCAGAATCTCCAGTGGTGAATTAATCTATTTAGATTCATCTCTCTAAAATGTATATCATATCATATCTATCACTTGCTCATAAAAATCAGGTTTTGTAACTTAAAACTACACAAATTGTCAAAGGACTCAAATACTAGAGAAAATATATAAAATAAATAATTATGAAAATAAAAAAAAATAAGCAAGGGACTAATAAAAAGGAAAAAAAAAAAAAAGAAAAAATGAGCTCCTTTTGGACAATGCTGACTTCTTCCCATATTTTATATAGTTTTGAACTGCAATATACAGGAATAAGGTAAAAGAAAGTATTGCAAAAAAAAAAAATCATTAACTCTTTCATAAATACCTGAAACTGATAGAAAGAAAAAATACAAGTTAAATGAAACAAAAGCCCACAAGATAACGCAAACTTACCAACTTCTGTAAGAGTTTTAATACAGTTCTCTACATTGACTCTCTGGTGTCCCAAGACGGCTTGGCTGACTCTGTACACATGGTGGAGCAGTTGCACAAACACTGGCTGCCGTGTCTGAGTTAATGGAATGTTATTGAGGATACACATTATGTATTTTAGTGGAGATAAGTTGAATGCAATGAGGATGAACACTCAAGACCCATCTGCTATATACTTTATTTAACAAAAACCTGAATTACAACATAGTCCAAGAACAAAAATTCTTTTAAATAAACTACTAAAAAGAAGACATCACTTCTAGATGTCAGAACCAAAATAAGACTATCTACAGATCATCTCAACTCATTTCTCTTTTTTTAACTCCTATTAAAAGAATAACAAAGGTTAAAAAGATATACTGAAATAATTTAAAGTCACATATGTAACTTGCAGCATTGTGTAAAATCTATCAAAAATATTTAGTGAGTTTCTAACACTCTAATATGTTAATAATCTGCATGTTCACATTAGTGTACTGTGAAACTACTCAAAAAAAAAGAAAAAAAAAAATCTTGGTAGGTTATTCTTACAAAATAATAATAATAATAAAAAAATAACAATATATGCAATCCACTCTATGACATGAAGCATGATAAGGCATTTTGTTAAGTTTGCATACATTCTCTTCTCATATACAAAGCTGAGGTTATTTTTGGTCTTCAACAAGGCTCAAGGAAGCAAACATGAAATCCATTGGTCCTAAAACGCATGTATGAAATCATGAAAATGCAAACTTCAAATTAAAACAGAAACTGAATTATGAAAGCTCATTTCTCTCTACTAACTCCCATTGTAAAAAAAAAAGGGGGAGGGGTCTGAAATAAAGGAAGAGGGAAAGAAGAAGAAGAGAGAACAGGGGGAAGAGAGATATAAGGACAGGGACAGAGAGAGAGACAGGTAAATTGCTATTTGAAAATGTTTCCTTTCAGGGAGGGCTCCAGTTGAAAAAAAGGGAAAAAATAAATATTTCTTTTTTTCATAATGAATAATAACAGAGATATAATCTTTATTCATCCCCACATTGCCTTATTCTATTCATACATGTGTATCACTCAAATTGTAAACATAACTCATGTCATATTACAATAAAATAAAGCCAATTACTTTATCTATTGCATCAAGGAGGCACTGTGCATCTGACATACATGCAGGAAGGCCGAAACACTACTCAGCTGATTGAGTGAGCTTCGCCTTCCTTCAGTGTCACTCCAGGTATAAAAAGGGGATGTGTGTTACTTTGTTATAATTTTATTTCATCTTTGTTATTCCTGGCCTTTATAACTTTTTCTTCAAGCCCAAGTGAAGAAAAGCTTGAAGAGCAAATCTACAGCGCTATGCTTGCTGCAAAGATAGAGGAGAGATGTAAAAAAAGCAACTGAGGAATAAGGGGACACAAGCTCTCTGTGCCAAACCTCCTCTCCTTTACTGCCACTCCCTCAACAACAACAGGGCTATTTGGTAGGATAATGTGAACTTAGGGTAAATTTGACTTCTACAGAAAATTGTATTGCCAGGAAGAAGTATATAAAACTTTAAAGTTTTTTTTTCCATAAAAAGCTGCATCTCCTGCGTTATTATTCATCCTTCAAAAAAGTCTCATTTAAAAAGAATGAAAATGGCAAAATGATCTAGAAACAATATATTTCTACAAAAAAATCAACACAGCAAAATAAAATGAAACATAAAAGTGTTAAGAAATCAGATATTTGACAAACAAAAAAATGAACCCCAAAACATAAAGCAAAAACCCTACTTTTTGAATATCATAGCATACACATTATGGCATTTAGATTCAACAAACTCTGCTAGCTTTCAAACAATTTTTTTTTTTTTTTAATCTTTCATTTTTGCCATCAAAACTTATTGAAATGTTTGAAATGTTATAATGTTTACTTACATACATTTTAACAACAACAAAAATTTATCTGTTCAATTTCAACACAATAATATGTCCACCAGAGCCCCTCCCCCTTAAAACTAACTCTCAAATAATGTTGGAAAGCACCAATGGGATAAAACAAAAGATCTATTCCTATCCATAAGGATTTCAAATCTACCTAAAAAAAGGATGGCTACATGCCAATAAAAATGAACAACGTACTTAACTCTAAAAAAAAAAAAGCAAAGGAAAGATGGAAAAAGTCATGAGATAGATGAATGAAAGGAGCTACAGAAAGGAACAAAGGGAGCGAAAGATAAACAGAGACAGAAGAGTAACTGGGAGGTGAAGAAATGTGAAACAAAAAGAGGGAAAGTGAGGGGGAACAAGAAGAAAATCAAGATATAACTATATAGATCTCTCTATCTATCTATCAATATACATGAGACCGAAGAAGAGTGGGGGAGAGTATAAATGATAAGCATTCAGCTACCTGTCACTCCACATATAGCAAGACATCTTCAAAATGACAAGATATATTCATACAACAGCAAATCATCAGGAATATTATCACAACCTTTTACACAAACATATCCATGTTCATTGGCTGAACAGCACATTCATGTGTATGAACTCACGGTTATGACATACAAGACAACACAATACAACAAACAAGACAACATAGAGCCTATTATCACCTAAATGTCTTTTAACTAAACTTCACACATAATCAGATATGCACTTCCTTGTAAATTTCTTATATGGAAATAAAAAACTTTTCTCCACACACTAACATAAGGAGACACAAGCACACACATCCGAATGAACTTTCTGTGGAAATGGAGATGGATGTTTTAGTGTATGGTGAGTCCTAATCCATACCACTAGTGCAACTATCATTGAGCTAAATAAAAATTTGTACATATTCTATTGGGAACTTATTAGAAAATGATGTATCTGCAAATCATAACTGCATATGCAGTTCTTTAACAATGGTTAAGGATCTACTTTTCAAAGGGTTGAGGTCTAACTTGCATTACAAAACTTTTTAACCTACCCTAAAGGTGCCTTCATTAACTTGAAAGTTCGTTAAGAAACTCAATGCTATAACATAACGCAAACAAACTGCATGCATATTGCGACACCATATTAGCAGTCATGAAAAAAAAAGAAAAAAAAAAAAGAAAAAGAAAAAA